AGTCCCTGTGTTAGATAAATCAGCTGCACAAGCATGAACTATCATGAATGTTTAAGATTACAACAAGAAAGAGAACTTTAGTAGTAAAAAAGATGCTGTTTGGTTGGTTTTTTTTAGCATCACTGACTCAATTTTCCTTTTCTTTGTGGGTGAAACAGTGATAGAAAGATGAAAAATTCCATGAAAGATAAATTCATGTTTGCAAAAGGGACAATTAAAACTAAGTAGTGAGGAGCTGCAGAAGAAGAGAACATAGTTGTCCAAGTCCATTTTTAAGAAAAATGCTGGGTGGAACACAGGGAGAAGAATCATTGTATTGAAKACAAAGTACAGAATGGCAAAAAGAAAGTGATGTGATGGTCTGAAATTGTACTGGGCTAGGAAAAATTACTCCTTCCTGTCATTATCTTTTAAACACTGTCATTCATTTCTATTCTGCTACCTTTGCCATTAAACATTCCTAACAGTAGAGAATACATGTTTCATAGGTTAACTAGATCAACACAATGAAGAAAACAACCACTTGCCTTGTTATTCCTGAGACTTATCTGAGAAGATAAGAATTGAAAGGAAAGGGGGTAAGTTATTTAGGAACAGATAGGATGCAGAAAGAAAGGAAAAACTTGTCCCAGTCCAGGATTCCCTTAGACTATGCATGTCAAACCAGAAGTTTCCCTTTCTTTCTGCCATTACCTCCATAGCTGTTCATCTAAACACATACCATAGATTGATTCAGATAAGGAAATCTGAGCAGCTGGGAGAAGGAAGAGGAGGTAGAAAACAACTCACACCTCAGGAAGGAGAGCGCTTTGCTGTTGTCCATGTTTACTGCAAATCCTCAGGCTGACACAATGTGGGGACAGGAACCAGAGCAAGCAATGACTGCTACTTCAGCTGCCACCAGCACCCAAGAAGTGCACCTGGAAATCACAGCCTCAGAGTCAAAACTGCTTCCTGACAAGCCTGCACAGGGCACGGAACAGATGAAAATTCAAGGGTGTAATTTCAAAATGCCTTTAACTGCTGCTACTATGAAAAGTAGCTGTTCTCCATCGCTTTCACCTGACTGTTCGTTCATATCCCCAGGTCACCTTCCATTTCTTGCTTGCATAAATAGAGGTGTGGAAAGAAGAGCAAATAACAACCCTTTCTTTCCCSCCCCCCCCCCACCAGATTAGTTTCAACTTGAATCAGCTCCCTGATCTGATTCACTGTCTGACCGTGCAAATGTTCATGGCAGTATAAGCAAAAATATTGCAGGCACAGAACAAAAGGCCAGAGGTAGCAATAGAGCAGGACAGATTCTTTCAAATATCAGCTTAAAGGTGTTTGAAAATCCAAGTTCAGAACATAAATGTCTGCATCTCAGATACTTAACACTTGATATGGAAAACCTCACGGAAGAATTAGAAAAAAAATTTGAAAGTAATGACTTTGCCTGCAGATATATGAAACAAAGTGTTATGAAACAATAGTTATGTTATTTATTACTTGAGCTCCTAATCACGTTTTTTAGCAAAATTAGCAAATGTTAGCAAATTAGGTGACGTGGATGAACATATGAGAACATGTATGCAATAATAATTACAAGAATGAACAGCATAAGTTATAAAATCTTTGGACTCCCTCAAATGACAATAATAAGGACCCTGCACAAAACGAACTCCTCAAGCCCTGCCCACCAAATAATATCCTTTCAGTCATCCTCTAACAAAAGGGGCTATCAAAGCACAGGGTAAGCATTTAAGTTCTTACAGTATTAGTTACCCACATCATATGCATGCTCTGCCTTGCCAGATGGCCTGTAATCTGGTTTCCCTTGAAGCTGAAAGCATCACATTAAAACTCCTAATTGGGGAGTTTTATATTCACAAAGTAATGACCTCAACCAGTGCTCCTCAAAGTGGGTTACATCATCCAAAAGGATCACAAGAAAGCTCTAAGGCTGTTGAAAAACCCAAACTGTATTTGGGGTAAAAAGAAAAAATATATGGAAAATATAGAAAATGTAAGATAATAATAAAACTAATTTATCCTTAAACATATTGACACCAAAAGTATCTGAAGGATTGTTCTATATTTGCAGACTGCTCACAGACATCTCTTAACCCTCTGGAGATGAAAAGARTAAGCTTTTCTCAGGTTTGTGTGAGAGAAGGGAAGGTAAAGGACCAAGACAAATAATTACACAGATGGGGAAAATATTTGGAAAAAAACATATGTATATTGATTTACATAATTTTTGAGAAAGCCTGACTTTATAGAAATTTAGTAGAATTTTTAGAACTTTTCAAGGTGCAGCCTAATATTGTTTTCTCTAAATTATTGGGAGTTTTGTCAATATCCACTGCATTAAGTACCTATCTGACCATTAACAGAAACTCCATCCTTAACATTTTCAACCTCAAATTTTTACAGTAAAGGAGGGAACAACCATGAGTAAGAAACAGCCATGAGTAAGACCTTCTGAATTTACAGCCTACTGTACTAAGGTCTAGCCTGCTCCTCACAGCTTGTTGGGCTGGTTTCAGAGATGTAACCTGATTGGAGGCATTGTAGTGAAATTGGTCCAAGTCCTGTGGACAACCTGAAACTTCACAGTTGGACYAAATGTAGCCTTGTAGAGAAGCACACTTTAGGAGCAACACTAGAAAAACCGATGAGAAAATGGACACAATAACAGATAACAGAGAAGTTGTTCAGAATAATTAATTATGGGATGCAAAAGAAGAGAATCAATGGGCCTTCTCTGAAACATTTTGCTGAAATAAATCCAGCCAGAAGGCAGTGAACATAAAACATTGTTAGTCACCTCTCCCTATCTAACACATGGGAGAAGATTTCTTCCCAAAGTGCTATCCCTCAAGCTGCTATTTATGAGTCCTGAATGCTACTTTTTCCAGCCTGTTTTTCAGGCATCTATTTGCTCTTGTTCCTAGCAGTAGGTAGTTTTTCTCCTCATTTGAACTTTTGGTACAATAGCAGAAGGAATTAACAAACTACTTTTAAAAAATAGAAGAGTCTTCCTTGTTCTAATGCAGCCACTGTCCCTACAGGGAATTTTAACAGTTCAAATACAAAAAGCATACTCAATACATCTGACTTATTACAAAACTAATAAAGCACTAAGCAGGCACACAATGTGTTTTCTAGAAAGGCTTTTCTCCACAAATTTCAAGTGACCTCCATAGCAGAGATTTCAATAGCACCAAAACATTGCATGCACCCTAGTCAGATGAAGTAGAAGTTATGATCTCCATATCTGGCACATCAGACAAATGAATTACTTGTAAGATTCTTTGGGATTTTACCACCCAGCAACTGAGCAGTACTCTCACCAAAACACTGTACTAAGTACAGTGCACAAAACTGAAATATACCACTTTACAAAACAAATTTCACAGAAATTGCTACAAAGGAATACAAATATTAATGTAAGAGGAATCAAATGCACTACTGAACAAACAAGGGATGGAAACTACCTTTAAGTAAGTATACCAAAGTCCAAGGCACACTATTTTGTCATCCATCCTAATGCATTAACATCACACAGAGAAACCCAGCTAATCACATTTATCCCAGCCACAGAAAACGTGTATAGAGAAACGTGTGGAGAGCTATACACAGCTCTTCTCTATTAAATGCAAGCATTACTGTTTGCACTACATCTAAAATTTTCAAGAGAATCCCATGACAATGTTGTCAAAGCCCCAACATCTTACACATATGTGATGCAAAATTTCAACCCATGAATAGCTCCTAATATTCAGGAATTCACCTTCAATGCACAGAAATAGCATTTAAAAGTAAAGAAAGGGCTCAAATTCTTTCTAAAAAAAAAGGCGATAAAACTACAAGAGGTTTATATAACTGATTAAATATTTTGAACATGCATGAAATAAAAAGAGCACAATTATCAGAGCACTGATCTGAAAGAACTCTCAAAACATCCAGAAATGCAACTGGCCTCTCAAAATTTTACAGGTTTAGGCTCTATAATTTTGGCCAAAACAAAAGTTAGAGACAAGTTTAAGCTGATAATAGCATTTAAATTCAGAAGGAAACCGTTTACTTTTTTCATCCTTTGAATTCAGCCAAGGATGCTTATATTTTTCAGAAGTTCATGAATGTCTAACACTATACGTAAGATTAGAGGACTCCCATTGCAAAGCAAGGCTGTAAGAGCCCAAATGAGGTTATTGTGCAATAAATTCAGTGCAATATTAGCTCTCAGTCTGCAGGGCTCAACAAGCACAGCTGATATCTAATATGCCATTCTAGTTATTAGAGTTCTAACCCAACCAAAGGAGGCTAAATCATCTCATCCACAAAGCAGCCAATCACCCAGTTACATCACACTTTGCACTGACTGTACTGATTGGAGAGCTATTGGCTGCAMAAATGGCTTAGACAAGGCAGGGTGGATTGACTTGCCCAGACATCTGAGGTGTCACTCAGAAGGCCACTGGCCTCTTACTGTCCATGCCATATTTACTGACCTTGTGCAGTTGCTTCGGCTAACTTTAAGCATCTGAAATGTCTGTAGGTACCTTCTAATTTTTAAGAAAGTATACAGCACTGCTAGCACAGCTGCAGGTACCTACAGTCAGGTGCTGATCTCAAATAGAATCTTTGCTATTGTGCTGTTAAAAGCTATTTCTGAGAAAACAGAAAAACATATCAACATGGAGCAATAAACGCATAAAGAGAAAACAGAAATGCTTTCAGGAATATATTCATTTCAGTAGGTCTAAATAGCATTTTATTTAAAATTTTGCTGCTTTTATATGGTTTAGACATAATCACCATGCAATTAAAAATACATATAGAAACAGATGTAGCCATTTTGTACCAGCAGATTTTCTTGTGAGCTTTTTAAAGCAATAACGTTACACCAAAGGGCAAATTTTCCCCAGCATTTCGATTCTAATCAAGAATTCTGAATCTACTCAGAAAGAGTAATCTTTTATTATCAATATGGCAAACAAAAAAATACTTACGGTTTACGTGATCAATATAGTACACACCAATCTGAGGATCATATGCGGCTTCCCATCCCCATGGCAATTCATCCCCAACACAATCCGCAAATGACAAGGGCTTTGTTAACCTACAACAAGGAAACAATTCAATTATATAGCTTTTCTCTCCTCCATACACGTGTTTGTCATTCATATTCATTTCTATTATGACAGAAGCTACAGAAACATAGCAGGGAGAAAGGAGAGCAAATTGTTTGCCTCCTGATTGTTTTTCTCCAATTCCATCTTTCTGAATTTATTAACTCCAACAACATATTATTGCAAACAGTTTTCAGTACAGAAACTCAAAAAACTTCACTGCAACATACTTCACATCTGACAGTTTAAAATTAAACAACAACCACCAGCTTAAAAAAAAAATTATCTATTTTCCTATTTGTCCCCTGGAAAACGGGACCCTTCAGCCTTGAGTTGGTGAAGAGAGCATGAGATTTTAAGATCACTGTTTCTAATGACCACAGACAGGAAAGTCAGAAAAGAGAATACAATCACCTAAGATGCAGTTAGCAGCACTTACCAATCCATGCACTTGAACAAAACAAGCAGCAGTATGCACAGAGTAGACATTTTACAACTAACATCTAATGGGCCTTAGAAATTCAAATGGTGCTTTTTTAGGAAGACAGACTATTAAAGTTTTCACTTTAATGATGGAGCACCTATTTGTTATAAGAACTAGATGGATAAAAATAATACATGGGCTCTTTTCCAACTGAGGCTGAGCAAAGCTTTACGTGATCATCTTTTTGTCCTTTTTTAAAAAAAAAGAAATTGGTATTGAGTTTCCTGTTGATAAATCCACAGATAAATGCCATCTCTAACATACTGATATAGTTAAGAAGAAAAACAAGAGATTTAAGTTTTATGGTCCCCATAGGRACAACAAGATTAAGTAGATATCTAGACTTTTTTTAAAAAATCCTCAGAGTAAGATGATGAAGAACAGTTTGTGGGACACACAAACAGCACTCCTTTGCTCACTGATGACTAAGTTTTATCACCTAAGACTGTTTTTCCATCTCACCATTAAAATTCTATACAAATAAAAAGCTAATTCATACATGCTTTTCTGYGTTTCAGGATTTTTCCATTAGTTCCTGACAAAAAGAAACAGGTTTGACRTTTTTGTGAGGAAAGAAAGAAAATAGTACCTTTTATAAACGGAATTGGATTTTGTGCACAAAACACTGAAGTGGCAGTACTTTACAAAAATATTTAACTCTTTATGCAGCTGAAAAAAACAGGAATTTGAGCACAAATTTTATCTAGAAATCACTCCCCCACTCTTGTCTTTATTATTGTCATCATCATCATGGCATATGATYTACCAATTCTTTAAGTAAGACACTATTCCTCCAAGCTAGGGTTGCAGAAATCACAAAGAACAAAGCTCTTAGGATTAAAAAATGTTTTGAATATTGATTATTTTTCAAATAATGTTTTTTTTAAATTGCAAGCATGAATCCACTTCCTTGTATTTCTCCAAAGTTTACATCATAATGCTATGAAGGTTACTAACACCTTATTTGAGGTTCTGAACAAATTTGCAAGACAAAGTAGCTCATTTATTGCCACTTATAAACTCCTACATAAAACCACTAAACACACTGAAAACTATTCCAAAATACAGGTGAAGTTACCAATGTGGAATTACATTTGTATCACTAATATGGATTATACAAAATATAAAAAAAAAAATACAAAAATATGGATTATAAGCAGCACAATTTCAGGTGGGCAGCATGAAGCAAACTGAACACAAGGCATCCCTGTCAGAGTTCCCAGGCCCCTGCCGCTCAGAGGAAGCATCAATCCTGTAAAAGAACAGTGCCTTGGTGATTCTGCTTAGTCTTGTGAACAAGATGTGCCAGCTGAAGGGCACACCTACATGTGAAGACATTCTTGTCTCAAGTTTGATTACAAGTGTAGATGCTCATGAAACATCTTAAACTGAATATAAATAAAAGTTTGGTGTCATCATTAGCGTTAACATTATAATATTAACTCAAACATCAATTTCTGTAGTTCACGTAGAAAAAATATTTGAAATGCCATATAGCAACATAGGAATCATAACATGAACTCATACTCATGTAAACACAGCCAGATGGCCTCTAATAAACATTCAGTACTTTCACCGAAGTTACACACCAGAGATAGCACTGGTCATGACATAATTCTTAGATCCCCTCTACAGRAAGGATATAAGCCCAGTAATATCCTGACTTTTCATCTGCACTCTTCACTGATTTTATTTTTAATCAAAATTCTCTTCTTACTATAAACAGCACGTTCTCTAGGTTAGACTGCAGTTGACTCTGATCATGCAAATGTTCTGTCCAGGTGTTATTACCTGTCTGAAACCAGATACCATGGGAAAAAACAACAGCCATTCTGGCTCATCCCAGATACCCCACAAATTAAAGAGGCACTAAAAAACTGTGGAAAAGTACTTGAGTGACCTACACTGAACTTTAAATGAAATTGAAGAAGAGAGAGACAGAATTCCAAAAATACAGGCAGCACTGGTCAAATTGTTTTATGAATTCTGCTCTGCTGGATAATGCTTGGACATCTCATCCTTAGGCTCTGAATTATGTCAGAACTGTTCCAGAGTAGATTTTTAAAACACGAGAAGGTTTGTATATAATAAGACACAATTACTTAAGAGGGTAACATTCCCATGACTCCTTTTTTTGTTCCAGAGTCTTTTAATAGCACACAATTTTTGAGCCTGAAGCATCGTTTTACAATTGAACAGCAGCACAAGGTTATACCTGATTGCTCATGACCCTCAGAACTGTCTCAACATAACCACTATTTACTTTCAAAATACATATGACAAATGGATGAGATTAACACAACATGAAGCAAGAGAAAATTTGCAAGACAAAAGTGGAAAGCAGAGAGTTATGAGATGTAATTGGACAGGAAATAATATCTAGGAACAAGGACTGAAGGAATCTTGTCTGCATGAAGATCATTATCTGTGACATAGTAACCTATGATAGATGGATTGTCATTACATTCATTAACCATGAACCAAGAAAAATGAGGTTTATTGCACCATAATAGAGGATTAAGTACTGCATCTCTTGGGCACTGATATTCTGAGGTAGTTCATAATACTGTTTCAGTTTGTAGCCATATATTTACGTGTTCTTAAAAGAATGCCAATACTTAAAAAAGGATAACTTCAAAGTCTACATTTAGTATCCAATGAAGTTCAATTAGTTAAGAAAATACTTGGGTTTTTTTTTAATGTATATCGTTGAGCTCAAGTATTGCCACCTAGGGGCACCTCTATTTTTTAACCTTAATGAACAAGAGCCAGGTGTGCGTAACAAGAAGTGGCTATTTTAAGGAAAACCAGGAAACATTCTGTAATTCCGTTATATAAACAATGTATAATTATGTCAATCACTTCACAGATACTCTGGGAGACCTAGAAGACAAATACAGTTTAGAAATGGAAAAGTATTATCGTATCAAATCCACTTTTTTCTTTAAAGTTTCCAAAACACAGAGTTCGCTAACTAAGCTCTTAAAATGTAGATTCTGCAATGATATATGCCTCATCATTAACAGTTCTTTTTGCATCTACAGCTATACCTGTTAGTCTGTAAATGCATCTACAGTTAATAATGAATCACAGAACCACAGCGTATTCTGAGTTGGAAGGGACCCAGCAAGGATCACGGATCCAACTCTTACATGAATGGCGCACATGCAGATGGAACACACAACCTTGGTGCTATCAGCACCATGTCTAAAAAACTGAGGGTGAAGATATTGTAAAATGAAGCCATAACTACAGACTGACAGATTGCCAGTGCAGACATGCTGCTTCATTTGGACAACTTTCTCATTCAATGTAGACCACATTTTGAGGTCCCCAGTTCACAGCAATGCATAGAAGACAGGCTGCTTGCCAAGATCAGGGTCCACAAAAAATGAGGAATTTATTACATGTATCAGTAAAACTATCTGTCAAGATACAGACAGCCTGATATTTCACATTTTTGTGATCTCAGAGTAGCAAGAGGCTTGTTCTTAAAAATGTGTATGTACGTGTATGTATACACACACACTACTTTGAACACACTGTCTATGCAAGAGAAATGCTGCATTCTGCTGCATTCCTTCTCTGACTCCTTTTTGTCTCCAAAATCCATTCAGGGCTAAATAACTGTAACACTGAACCTTAAGTTATCCATGTTATGATTAGGATATGACTTTATCAATAGAAAGCTCTGGACTTTGGTCTTCAAACTCTTTTATACTCTGCTGACATCACAGATCTTATTAGCATACTTCCAAAAACCCATTTTATCCCCACTCCAAAGGCCTGTGTGAGTACAGCTATTGACATGATTTGCCTATATGGAACAATTTGCATGAATTGCATCAATGATTTACTGTGATTGATAATATATGTGGAGAAGCGTGTGGGGAAGAAAGGTTACAGTAGGCAGATCTCAGAAAATCGGGAGGGGATGAGGGAGAAAGAGACACAGAGAACAAAAATAACCCCACCCCACACAAATCTAAAATTACTTTTCCTCAGCTAGAAAGGAAGAAAACACAGGTTTGTAAGAGGTACACAAGTATCTGAAATTATGAATAGGATCACCTTAATGCCTTTCAAAATTACTTCCAAGAATACCTCTTTTGCTGTGCGATACTTGACCTACAGTCAAGATGTGTAGTTTGGAATTCAATTACAACTATGGTCAATGCTCAGCTACCATAGCAACTTCAATTTGCATTTGAGAACCTCCTCCAAATACCCAAAATGAATTCATGTGCTTTGCTGTGTAGCAAGATCTTGTGTGACACTTAGATGAAATGTTGTACAGATCAAATTCCACATCCATTMATTTCTAATATATAACGATATACATACTAGACATTAATTATTTTCTGTTATGCAGTACTCACTAGTAATTTTCCTAGGCAGAAATTGTTCTGAAAAAATACTTCTTCTCCAAGCTCTAGAAAGTGAGAAGACAAAATATACGTTGCTATTCAGATGTGCAGGAATGACAGAGTGAATAGCTCTTCTCTTAAAATGCAAAAGAAGAAATCCAGTGATGGAAGAACCACATGCACATCTATCTGGAATACGTACACCATTACAGAAGGGTGTACAGATGGTTTACCCACAACAACAGTAACAAAATTTGACTTCAAGCATTTTCAGTTAGCAGAGTTACACAGAATAGTAACATAAAATCAGCATCAACTTTTTTTTTTATTTTGTAAAAGGATGAATGAAAGTATTTAATTCTTATTTTGATTCAGATCTTGAGACAAGAAAATGTAAACATTCAAATTAACTCATCAATGAAAGGCATGTAGATAGAAAGAGAAAAATGTTCTAAATCCATCGGCAAACCTCCTAAATTTAGCGCTCAAGTTGGATCTCAAAATCAATCCAATTCTTACCCAACTTTTGAATGCTACAGGCATTATTAGTTTGAAGGGTGTATAAACCTGTGTTCTAATCCCATACTACATGAATT